AGGCTGTAGGATTCTGGCAGCTTACCTAGTGTTGGGCTGGAATCAGCAATATTGGAACTCTAGGGGTAGGATTGGGTAGTCTGGCCCCTGGAGTTTGTTTGATTTTCCTTTCCTTTTGCTTCCTTCAGCTCCTTTCAGATGGACGTTGGAGGATGTTTATCTGCCTGAGGCTCCTTGGAGCACTTCACAGAGTTTTGCTGAGGCACTGGGAGACTGCTGTAGAATGCTGAGGCACCTGGTGGTTTTCTGAGCCGGTTTCTATCAGTTTCCCCACCCTCACTGAGGCATCTGGGGGTCCAGGTGTTGGTGTTTGCCTGCTTCACCACCTGGGTTTCAGGATCTCCTCCTGGTGTGCTAAAGTGGGGCTTTCTTTTGGCTTGCTGGGATGCCTCCTGTTCTGTACTGCTCCCCTTCCCCCAGGGCAAGAGAGGCCTTTCCTGTTAATCTCTCAAGCTACCTGGGCTATTTGGCTGCTGTACCCCATCTTTATTCTGGTTCAGCTGTTCCAGGGTTTTCCCTGGGGCAATATTTTCTGGGCTTTCAGAAGTTGGTAAGGTAGGATAAGAGTGGCTTACTTCTTACTCCACCATCTTGGCTCGCGGAAGCAGAAGTCCCACAGATTTTTTTTTTAAGGATTTTTAGTTCTACTAAGGATCTTATAATTGAGAATGTTGAATAAGGAATGTATTGGTTGAAAAAGACATTGGCATATATGGTTTTAAAACACAGAATATTTAATCTTGGAGGGTGGTTGAATTGTAAAACATTCAGAACTGGCATTCCAAGACTAGCATGGCTGTCACTCAGAGCTGCAAGACTCTCTAGCAGTCCACTTTTCATTGCGGCATCACCATTTCATGCTTGACTAGAAGGCCCCCTCACTTCCAGCATGAGGAATGGGAGATGTGAAAATGATTAATGAATCAAGGCTTCTCTTCTGACTCACCAAGAGTAGGAAATCTCGTGTTTCATCAAAGAGGTGTCCTCAGTGGGGACAGATCTATATGATGCAAAACATCCATTTTAGAAACACCTGGTTCTTGGATGGAATTTTCTGTTTTGTCATGGCTGAGATCAGAGCTGGGATAGGATTGGGGACTGTGATATCCTGAGAAAAGCATTGGAGTGGGGGAGGGGTCGAAAGACCTGGGTTCTAGTCCAGGTGTTGTCACTATTTATGTCACCCTTGGGCATGTCATTTCCCTTTTCTGGATTTCAGTTTCCAAATCTGTAAAATGAGATGGTGAGAGGGGTCCCTTACACACTGAAATCCTCTATTTTATAGCCTAACATTCAGTGTTCTAAATTCCCTACTAGCTCAAGTTCTATGTCCTAAGGTTCATTTAAGCTCTGACATTCTATGTTCTATAATTCAGCAGGCAAGGAAGACATAAGGGACAAATTTTGAGGTCATTGACAAAAGAAAATAACATCTCTTCTCTACCATCATCTCTACTGCCACCATCTTCCTCTGCCTCAAGTCTCAGGTGGTGATAGCAAGCATGAGAATGTATACTCATCATAGACTCACATACTCATCATTTCATCTTTGCTTAGTATCCTGGACCTAACATGATATCTGATGCATACCAAATCAATGCTTATTGTTTGACTGATGGAGCAACCACGATAGGGGCCCTTTCCCCTCTGGTTTTTCTGACATGATTCACTTGGAGATGAGCTGCTTTAAAAATTAGTGATATCTAAAGTCACTTTCCTACAAAAATGACAAAGTGAAAATTCCCTTCTCAGTGAGGAGAAGTAGAAGGTGTCTTTCAACTGTTCATTCTTTTCAGTGTATAGTGACTGTCTCCACCTTTGCTGTTGAGGGGCAATTCTGCCCCTTAGATTCAGGAACAGAGGCTATGTGACCTTGGGCACTTTGGCAGAATGTTAGGCAATTGGTTTATCCTTCTTGAAAAGCTTCTGCCCTGTGTAACTTTCCTTTCAGTTTATGAGATCCTCAAATTCTGATCCCTGTTTATTTGTGGTGACAAAGGACTGATGTCCTACTATTGTTGGCAGAGAGCAGATTGACTGACTCATAGATTGTCAAATCTAAGAGGGATAATTTATTTTAGTTAATAGGAAGAAAGAGAGACCCAGGGAGATTGAGTAATTTTCCAAAATCACACAGCAAGTTAGGGCTAAGGCTGGGATTAGAAATCAGGTCTGCTGATTCCACACCTAGAGAACTGCTCCTCATTCCACAATGCTTCATCAACTGCCTTTATTCTCAGGAGGGGATGTGGTGATCAGCTTACACTCTACTGGATGATGTGAAAGCTCATTTTCTCTTAAATCTCTCAATCTTAAGATTTAGGGCCAGGAGGGAACTTAGAAATCATTGTAGCCCAACCTGTCTATCCTTCAAATGTGGAAATGGACACAACTCAGGAAAAGGACTTTATACAGGTAGTAAGTATGATTTAAATCTGGGTCTTCTGGCTCTGAAACCACTTACTACATGGCAGATGTCTCTTTTACTTGTTATTGCCCCCTTCTCTTGTGCCTACACCCCACCCTTGAAAATATGGAAATATCTGGCTGGTTTAAGTCCAGCTTAGAAGGAATTGAAAAGAACAGTAGCAGGGAGAAACAGATGGGAAGGGGGAGAGGGGGAGCCTTTGATCATGTCCAGAATCTCTTATGTAGCTTCAAAGCACCAATATTTTTTCTGGATTTCTATCAGCAGAGACTCCTTTGTTAAGTCTTAGTACAGTCCTTCCCCATAAAATCCCTTCCTATGGTTTCCAATATAGCCCCAAATTCCCAGACTGGACTAGGCCTTGAGAAATAATTTAGTCTACACTCTATCCTCCAAGTGCAACCACTCCTTAGAAGAGAGGGAGGAAGTAGGGGTGGAGAAGAGAGGGCAGTGGTTCAAGAGTTAGAAAACTTAGGTTCAAATCTTCCCTCTAACTCTTACTACCTATGTGACCTTAGGGGAGTCCCAATTTCCCTGTGCCTCGGTTTCTTCATCTTTAAAATGAGAGGGTTGGATTGGATGACATATGATGCCTCTTCTAGTTCTAGAGCTATGATCCTATAGTCAGCAGGCTTTCCTTTAGTGAATCTTCTTCTATCTCGAGGCAGCTTCCTGACCCCTATTCATGTTTTCACATGTTCTGATGGTGAGACCACAAGTGCTTTTGTAAAGACAGAGCAATTTTTTAAAATTAAGAATATGTCAGCATTTCACCGTTTGATGAATGAATGAATGAATGAATTTGTGAGTTCATTAATAGAGATACTTCCTCTACTAGTATAGCTCATAACCTACCAATGCCCTTTGATACTGTAAGAGTCATGTCCATATCCTCCTAAATCCTCCCAACACACTGAAAGCTTTCCACTGTTTCTTTTCATGTGTCCTGGATATTAGTGGAAAAATCAGGCTGTGCTTTTACATTTAAGAATCTCTCACTCTCAAAATGTGCCTAATAAGCCTATCTCTTCTTCCAGTCATTTTTTATCATTGATGATTGATATCTCTTTTTTTTAAGTTTTATTGTCACCATTTGTTTTTATACTACTCATTTCCTCTTAAATTTCACTTCTCACTGCACTTGTTCCTGTCAGAGAGAGAAACTTTTAAGCAAAACCAATCCATGAAGCAACCACTATTTGTAGCTTACAGTGTTTCATTTCTATAGCCTCCCATCCACTGCTGAGAGGAAAGCTCTTTGTACCATTATTTGACAATGGCCTTCTCTTTTCTTATCATCTATAAGTCATCCCTGGGAATATACTGCTGCTTGCCAGTGAAACCTACCATCTATCTTTCCAGTGCCCTTTGGCTCACTTGAAATTTTGGTTCTTCTAAGACTATGGTATTCCATGATTCAAAACTAAAATATCCCAGGAGAGTTTAATGAGTAACTCAAAATTAAATCAATATTTACCCTGATGCTCAGTGACTTTAGTATTAAGATGGGCACAGGGAAGGATGGCAAAAGCTTTTTTCATGGAGGCGTATGTAGACAAGAAAGCCTTGAGCTCTGCTTTTTTTGAGGAGAGGGTGTCATCTATTAAGACCCTCATGTCATCTCATTGATTTAGAGCTAGAAAAGACTTTAGAGACCACTTAATCCAACTGCTTACTTTACAAATGAGGCATTTGAGGCCCAGAGAGAGGAAGTGACCTGCCCTAGGTTACACAGGTAACAGAACCATGGGGGGGGGAAGGGAAGAGAGAGAGAGAGAGAGAGAGAGAGAGAGAGAGAGAGAGAGAGAGAGAGAGAGAGAGAGAGAGAGAGAGAGAGAGAGAGAGAGAGTTTTCCCAAAGGCCAAAAGTATGATACAGGAATCAGCCCTGGCCTAGGGACTCTCTGTCTATGTTTCTGTCTCCCCTTCTTTTCCCTCTCTCTCCTCTCATTTCCCTCTCCTCCTCCTCCTCTTTCTTCTTCTTCTTCTTCTTCTTCTTCTTCTTCTTCTTCTTCTTCTTCTTCTTCTTCTTCTTCTTCTTCTTCTTCTTCTTCTCTCTGTCTTTCTTTGTCTCTTCTCTCTGTCTCTGTCTCTCTCTCTCTCTCCCCTCCCTTCCTCCCTCCCTCCCCTACCGGGAAGGAATCCCTGATCACAACCAAAGGGAAATTCCCTGAAATCTCTAGGGAGGCAAGGTGGAGATCATAGATGTGATGAAGGCCTATCTTCTCTATATATGTTTGACACTTCCCAAAGTCTTTTCCCTATCCCAGTTTTTTTTTCCCCCAGAAGAGAGTCTAAAACAAGGGTGGGGAACTGCAGCCTCAAGACCATATATGGCCCTCTAGGTCCTCAAGTGCAGCCTTTTGACTGAATCCAAACTTCAGAGAAAAAATCCCCATAATAAAAGGATTTGTTTGTAAAACTTGGACTCAGTCAAAAGGCCACACCCAAGGACCTAGAAGGGCACATGTGTCCTCAAGGCTGCAGGGTCCCCAACCCTGGTTTAGAACCATGTGTGCCAATAACAGCCACATTATGCGATGACTAATATTGTTAAACTGAACCCTTCTCAGCATTACAAGGATCTAAGACATCTCCAGAGGCCTCGGGATGGAAAATGCTGTCTGCATCCAAAGAAAGAACTATGGAAGTTGAATTGCTCTCACTTATTTTTACCTTATGTTGAGTTTTGTTTCATCTTTCGGATGGTTCCTCCTATTGGTTTTAATTTTTACTTACAACTTCACTAATGTGAAAATATGTTTAATAGGAATGTAAATGTAAAGCCTATATCAGATTGTGCACCGTCTTGGGGAGGGTGGGGAGGAGGAAGGGGGAGAAAAATTTTCAACTCAAAAGCATATGGAAGTGATTGTTGATAAATCAATAAATTAATAAAATTTTTAAAAAAAGAACCACGTGTGCCTTCTCTGACAGTCAGAAAAAAGTCTTCTTTCTAAGTTCTCAGACCAACACTGCTCTTCACGCAACACTGAGTCACCATCTTTTCCACCAATGAAGAGAGTCCTATACAAATGATCCAGACTTGAACTCCACATATACAAAAATATTTATAACAACTCTTTTTGCTGTGGCAAAGAACTGGAAACTAAGGGTGTGCTCATAAATTGGAGAAAGGCTGAATAAATCATGGTATATGAATATAATAGAAGACTATTGTACCGTAAGAAGGGATGAAAGGGATGGTTTCCAAGAAATTGGGGAAGATTTGTGTCACCTAATGCGGGGGAAAGTGAACAGAACCATAACAGCCTCTATCATAGCGACAACATCATAAAGCAAATAATTTTGAAAGACTTGAGAAGTATGATCAATGAAATGACCTACCATGAGTCCAGAAAGCCTATGATGTTTCAACATGCTACCCACTTCCTAACAGAAAGGTGGAGTGAATGACATATGTTTTTGGACGTGGATGATTGTTTTTCTTTTCTTTTTCCAATGGAGTGGAGGGAGGTAGAGAAAAAAAAATACTTATTCATTAAAAATTTTTTTTAAAAAAGAAAGAGGAACTATGTTTGAATCCCAGCTTTACTAGTCAGCTGTGTGGCCTTAGGTAAGTCACTTTCCTTCTCTGAATCTAGAGTTCCTCATCTGGAAAAAAAAAGAAAGGATTGGGTTGGATGATCCCTACAGTAGCTCCTAGCTCTAAATGTGATGCCTTTATTTAAGAGCTGATGTTCAATCTAATTCAACCAATATTTATTAGGTGCCTGCTATGTGCCAGGTCCTGTGCTAAGCACTGATGATATGAAGACAAAAATAAAACTGTCCATGCCCTCTGTTTGATTGGGATTTTGTGAGAAAGATGCTTATTGGATTTTGAGGTGCTAGAAAAAAAGTAACTTTAAAAAATCATTATTACCTTGCACTGATATTATTCTCAACCTCACTCCACCATGTCTCATCATGGTATAGAGGTGGACCATTGAAGACTCCACCGGTGAAGCTCAAACGGTGGTGAGTTCTACCAGTGTGGAAAGCCTTTGAGTATGGACACCATAAAGGAATCTGTTTCTGTTACCTGAGGTTTAGCTCAGCTAAGTGTGAAGAGGATTGATCAGGAGGGGATAGATTGTTTCCATCTATGATACCCTAATTAAGCCATCTCCTAAATATGGAAGGGCTACAATCTATATCAGTGGAGAGAAGTATTCACGTGGCTGAAATAACAAATCCTTGAAATATTAAAGTATTTTTAATACAATGGGCAGTTGGGAGCCACTGCAGTTTCTTGAGCAGAAGTTACTTGTTGGCATTGGTTATTTTTGAATTTAATTGTGTTTTAATGAAATTTTATTTTTTTAAATTGAGAAGTATTTATTTTTTCTCCCTCTCCTTTCCCACCCTCGAAAAAGAAAAGCAAAACTCTTGTAACAGATATACATAGTCACACAAATTTCCATGTTGATCCATGTCCAAAAATATGTTTCATTCTGCATATTTAGTCCATCACCACTCTGTCAGAAGGTGACTAGGTTTCTTTATCATCAGTCCTCTGAGCTGGAGAAGTCAGATGGGAACTCTAGCTAGGAGAAAGCAAAGCAGAGAAAACCACTAGGAGGAAGTTTGCAGACATTTGATAGGTGGTAAGGACATAGTGGCTTTGAAAGTGGAGGGGGTGGAGTCAAGCTCAAAAGATCTTTCAGAGAAAGAACTATCATGTTTTGTGACAGAGTGAGTTTCATTTTGATCTGGAGTCATCCTCAGTTCAGAGAAGGAAGCAAATAGATGAAGATTCCATCACATTTCTTGTGAACTGACCATAGACTTGTTCCTTTTTTTTTCAGTTTTTCTCTCTATCAAATGAGCAGATAAGTAGATAGAGTACCGGCCCTGGAGTCAGGAGGACCTGAGTTCAAATCTGGTCTCAGACCTGACACTTCACATTTACTAGTTGTGTGACCCTGCAAGTCACTTAACACTGATTGCCTCACCAAAAAAAAAAAAAAAAAAAAAAAGAGCAGATGCAGTTTTTTGAGAGCAGTTGGAATAAATGACATTTGCCAGTGCTAGAAACTAGAGAAATAAGAGAGTATTTGTCGTTGGCTCTAAATCATCCCAATTATCAAATTTCCCCTTGCCAGCTTCTTCATTTTTTCTACTTTTTTTGTGTTTGTAGAGGTTGTTTGGGTTATTGTTTTGTTTCCCAGTCAAATATTAAACCCCAGGAACAGCAGGCACGCAGAACCCCTGAGAGGTTCACGTGCTCCTTTCCTATCCATTTCTTTAAGAAGCCTGGCTCTTTTAATCTAAATAATAAAGGGAGGCCTTGAGAGAATTTGGCAGATGTGGCTGCCAGAAAGGCTAATGCAGTAATAGAACTTTGATGTCCAGAGCAAAGGAGATGAAAGGCAGCTGTGAGGGAGTAGAAAGAGCACTGGACAGAAAAGCAAGCCCTCCCCCCAGTTATTAGCATCTAATAGATGTAGTGCCTATACTTTTACTAATAATAGCTAATGTTTATATGGCACTTTAGGGATTGCAAAGCACTTTATGTATGTTATCTATCTTCACAACAACCCTATGAGGTAGGTGCTTTTATCATACCCATTTTGCAGATAAAGAAACTGAAGCTCAGGGAAGCTAAGAGACTTACTTGCCCAGAGTCATGCAGCTAGTTGGTGTCTGAGGCAAGATTCAAACCCTGACTCCAAGTCCATCACTGAATCAGCTGCACCAAGTAGTATGTTTACTTGGGTATATTTACCCAGTAAATGTTTCTTGAGAGCAGAGATCTTTCTTTGTTTTGTCTTTGTATCCTCCCTGCCTCACACAGTGACTTCACATACAGGAGGAACTTAAATCCTCTACCTGAAGTAGGCACTTAGATATTTGTTTAAACTGAAAAGTACTTTGAATTAAATTTCATTGATTTGATCTGGGTCCTAGTCATGGCTCTTTCCACTGACTCATTATTGACATCAGTCAAGTCACTTCACCCATGTGGGCCTAAGCTTCTTCTTCCTTCCAATGAAAGAGTTGAACTGGGTAATCTCCAGAGTTTCTTGCAGTTCTGAAATGTTTTTGACCAAAAATGGCCCTTTCCATTCTCTCTTAGTCGGGCCACATGTGGAATTTGCATTCAATTTAAGAGGGACGTTGACAAGCTGGACTATGTCAAAGGAGGTCAGCCAAAATGGTAAGGGGTCTGGAAACCATGTCATTCATAGAAGGATGAACATATTTCGCTTAGAGAAGAGAGGCTGAAGGGGTCATGATTATTGCCTTACAAAACTGAAAGGCTGTCATATAGAAGAAAGATTAGACTTATTCTGCTTTGTCCCAGAAAGGCAGAATGGGTAGAAATTGTAGGCAGGGCAGTTTCAGTTTCATATAGAGGTAGCCTTCTGAACAGTCAGATCCATCCCAAAGAGGAATGGGTTTCCTTAAGGGGTAGTAAGCTTCCCATTACTAGAGGTCTCCAGTCAGTGTGGATGATTATTCTTTGGAGATGTGAGGGAGAGAATTTAAGCTTCAGGTAGGGGTTGATCTGAACAACTTTTGATGTCCCTCCCAGCTTTGAGAATGGTTGTAAAACATGTCCTAAGGCACTGGGAGTGTCTTACTATAATGAAGAACAGATTCTTATGTTTGGTATGAGGGAAGGAAGATGTATAAGAAGCATTTTAGCTAATTAGACTCAGACATGCACCCAAGCACTCATAGCCATAGGCACACACGTGTATGTGCATAGAGACACACAAACACACATTTTTATTCATTATATAGTGATTCAAAATCGCCTTTGGGTAATTGTATATTTACACCTCAGCAATCTTTGATCTCTGGGTTTGCCCCTTTCACTGAGGAAACTAACAATCCTAACTTTCCATAAGCAAAAAGAAAGGAATGGCTGGCCGTGATCTCCTTCAGCATCTGGAATAAGCCTAGGCCTTGGAAAACATGTGTCTGGGGGCGTGGGAGTGTAGTGGGGTAGCCCGAGAGAGAGGCGGGATTTCAGCTAAAGAACTAGAGAGAATTCGTTGTGGGCTGTTTGCATTATTAGAGGAAAGAGAAAGCCAGAGGTCGCTGCTTCATTTCCATGGCAACTAGCGTTTCACATGTCTATATTCCATTTATTTTGAAGATGCCTCAGTTCTTTCCGTCCAGATATGGGCAATAGCATCTAGAGACCGGGCTTCTCAAACCCTAAAAGTTCAAGGGATGCTGACAATAATTTCTATATGCAGTACTTAAGATTAGAAAAAAGGGCATTTCTCTAGTGCTGTAGTATAAAACAGCATAAGCCCAGGGTCATGAGATCTGGGTTTTAATCCTTGCCTTAACCATTTGCTAGCTGTGTGACTTTACTTGCTCCTCTGGGTTTCAAGTTCCCCATGCATAAAGAGAGAGAATTGAGAGATATGTTATCTTAGGCCTAAATACCTTTCCAGCCTTGACAGTCTGGGAACTCCTATGTACCTCTGGGCAAAAAGAGAAAAAAAGGGGAAAGGTAGGGTCTAACCTCATCATCTGTACCCAGTATTTTACGTAATCATAGAACGTCATTGCATATAGAACGTAGAATGTTAGAGCTTGAAGGGACCTTAGAAAACAGAATGTGAGAACACAGACCACAGAATGTTAG